CACAGGGTCCCTCACCACCACTCCCTCCTCCACCTTCAACATATCGGCCAGCGTTTTCTTCATCACAGCGCCCACGATCACAGAGCCCAGCTCGTCCACCGACCGGAGAGGGATGTGGCCGTCACCTTCCAGCCCCGCCTCCCACGAGCCGTCGTTGTAGATCTGGTCGATGATTGGCTGAGCGTTCATTCTCTTCTCGAACTCCTCCTGGTCTTTCTCGTCCATCTCTCCGATCCCGGACTCATCGTCGCCGCTCTGTGAGATATGACAGTGACGATGACAGGGAAGATGAAAAATCAATGACAAATACGATGGCAGCGACAGTGACAATGACACTGACAATGACACTGACAAAAACGAGGCGATGACAATGACAATGACACTGATAAAGACAAATACGATGGCAGCGACAGTCACAATGACACTGACAATGACACTGACAATGACAAATACGAGGTGATGACAGTGACAATGACACTGATAAAGACAAATACGATGGCAGCGACAGTGACAATGACACTGACAATGACAAATACGAGGCGATGACAGCGACAATGACACTGATAAAGACAAATACGATGGCAGCGACAGTGACAAGGAAAATGACAATGACACTGACAATGACAAATACGAGGTGATGACAGTGACAATGACACTGATAAAGACAAATACGATGACAGTGACGATGACACTGATAAAGACAAATACGATGGCAATGACAGTGACGATGACAGTGACAATGAGAGTGATGATGACAGTGACAATGACACTGATAATGACAAATACGAGGCGATGACACTGACAAAGACAAATACGATGGCAATGACAGTGACGACGACAGTGAAAATGACAGTGATGATGACAGTGACAGTGACAGCTGGGCTGTGTCCTTGAGTTAGACACGACAACCTTGACTCATACAGCTGGCCCTGCACCGCGGCATCCAGCAATGGCGTCTCCTCCCGATGACACACAAATTGGGTTGTTTTTATCGTGTACGTTTATCGAGTATCTCGGTCTTTCCGCTGGGACGACGTTGTATTCCTCTCAGCCCGGGCTGGTTTTGACCAGCAAGGTCAGAAGCCCGCCTCCTAAATGCTCTAACTTGTGTCGGTGGGGGCGTAAAACACCTACATTTGTGAGGCAGCGTGGTGAAATCAGGCGCTCGCTCGTCAAAATATGATAGTCAAGAAATTGGCATTTCCAGCAGATTAGAGAACTTTTATTGAATTTTTTTTTAGGGGGGGGGGGAGGTTCAGCACATTTCATGCCCATTAAAGAGCACATTTCTGTGTGGATTTTACAGAAAAACGTTGATAAAAGGTAGAAGAAAAGAAAATTTTCAGTTTCCACAGACTCTCAAGCTTAAGAAATAACTCAACTTATGGCGGCCATTTTCTCACTAATTTTACCTCTGAAACCAGATGACCCTCCCCTCACCTCCTACAATCACACATATCTCGACTTCAATTCAACATAGATGGACATTATTTTCACCCAAAACAAGGAAAATGAACAGGCCTTAAGATGATACCATTCAATTATTATTATTATTATTATTATTATTATCTGACCTGCATGTCCTGCTTGGGCCAGACCTTGACCACAGCGCCCGGATTGACCATCTCCTCGCTGGACCCCCGCCTCTGGGACACCCGCCGCCGGAGCTTGTCGGCGGGCCGCGGCGTCTTGGGCCGGTGTACCGGGGGTTCGAACATCCGCTCGGAGAGAAGCGTCTCGTCTTGTATCGGCGGCTCGATCTCGTCTGGTCCGGCCAGGCCTGTGTGAGATAAGATAAGATGCATAATCACTCATCACCACCATTATTTCTAAAATCATCACCACCATTATTTCTAAAATCATCACCGCTCTCAGATCAATTCCTTCTTCTTCCTCGTTCTCGAACTCAGATCAATGACTTACATCTATAATCCTGGAATCTCTATGTGTTGTTACAGTTACTTGTTATACTAAAGATAATGCACGGCATACACTATTGGACACTATCATACGCACTTTTTTCTACTAATCAGATGACGTCAATCTCATATAATAGGGCAAGGGATGAAAAAAAAGATACATCTTTATTATCCAGATCCTGGCACATTGGTTTGGTTGGTGTTTCGCAACGTGCACACACACGCCACACACACACACACACACACACACA